ATAAAATAAAAAATTTATATCTTTATGTTTGAAGCCTGAAATGTGGCAAAAGGTTGAAAAGTTCAAGGGGGCCGAATACTTTCGCAAGGCACTGTATGTGCACCAGGGTCCCGACTCATCAACCGATGTGAGCTCTTTGGCAACCATCCACCTGTCAGCCACCACCTGCAACTTGCGGTTTCCCAGCACTTATTTGACGTTTTAGCTGGTGTTTGGGTTTTTTTTTTTCATTCTCTTGGGGTGTCATTACTCCAGGCCTTCCCAAAGTCTACTTTGCTGAAGATGCAGAGTTCTGGAGGCAGTGGGACCAGATATCAAGCCTTTAGTGACACCTGGAGTTTTCTGGATTCTGGATTCTTTCATTTTCTCCCTCTCTGGGATGATCAATTTCCGTATTTTTACCTGATGGAGAAATATCTCTGTTCCCGTATTAAGAGAAGGCTTCCTTTCCCCGGGTTGCTTTCCAGGAGCTTAATCATCTCCAGCTCTTGGGAGTGCTCCTTGGTAACCACCTCTCTTTTATCCAGCAGATTTATGTAACACATATATAATTACATATCTGAAGCATGTCCCACTTTAATTAGTGGGGTTTACCATTTGCTTGAATTTAACTCTGTGCTTCTTGGTTTAACCAGACTAAACCAGAATGAATGAGTCCCTTCAATATATTAGTGCAAATCTTTATGTCATTTGTTATTAAACGACAGTGTGTTCCTTGGCAAAATCCAAATACAAGCCCCAATCATTCAGTTTTTTATTTGACAGCTGTCTAATGTATTAAGGGATTGAAGCCCTGTATTAGAACAACTAGCTGTATTTTACAGCTGTAGCAGGTTGTGTTTTTTACTGTACATTAAACACTTAGCCAGTATTCAAGTGGTGTGGCTAGATTAATGCAAAGTAAGAACTCACATACTCTTTCCCTTGGTGAAAGCCAGCCATTTTGATTATTTGCTGTTTTTCTGTTCTGTCTACCTACAGTCATGTGTGTTGCTGGCGTTGCGTTGGTGGTGTTTTTCTTTAGCTGGTTGTTGTCGATTTTCAGAGCCAAATACCATGGATATCCTTACAGGTGAGAGCACCTAACGCCTACATGTATCAAGGTTTTAAAATGCAATTTTTTCAGATTTGGAAGGTCCCTTCAACATGTAGCAAAAAAGCTTGTTCAGGTACATTTTGTTTATGCTTAGTTTAAAGAAAGGAGATTTCACACTTGAGAATGTGGCAAAAATCTTGGATTTTGTCCAAAAAGTTAAAAGGTTCATAGCTAATAGATAGGAAATATCATACGATGTGTATGTCTATTGGAAAAACTAAGGGTACATCAGCTATTCAATGTGTCTAGGATAACAAAATGAGCTAATCAGCTATATTACTCTCCCCCAAGCTGGAAGCTTTGAACCAACAAACTCATGATTTACATTAGTGACCACCACAGTGCTCTTCTTTACCAGCTGAGCCATTGAGGGGACTCAAACCTCAGTATCCTGTCAGATAAGAAAAGGCTTGATGCTACACTTCTTTAAAGTTTATTCCAGCAAAAGGGACACTTATTCAAGCCATTGTATTGTATTATTTGCCCTATTTTCTTTAAATTCTCAAATTATCAATATCTGACTTGTACAGAGACCCAATATAGGAAGGATATTTTAAGCCCAGCGATCACCAAAGCTTTTGGATGTCCATGCCAGTCTCTGCTATGTACATTATTTTTTAAACCTGAAAAGGTTAGTGAACTCTGTTGACCATTATTAGTCAAGTGTACTGCTTTCATTTCCTTTTTGAGAGGCCATTTATGGTGACTGATCAATGTAAATTAATGTGAGTTTGCTCACACTGTACTATTAAATCTCTCACGGGGCATAATGGATGCGTTGCATTTCAATACTAGTTGTCAGTCAACAAAAAGTTTTCACCGGTTAACAGCAGTTTTATTTTCTGTTGCAGTTTCCTTCTGAGTTAGAAAAAGACCTCAAAGGGAGATGAGAATGGGGATCTGCATCTGACTGTCCCATCAAAGGAGAGGCATTCATCTGGTCTGTTGTGGTCTTCTACGTGCAAGAAGCCTAACCAGTGGAACACTTGAACCAAATTATAAAAAGTGCCTTAAGTTTAAATGAATGGGAGTGCATTCATCAGAGTTCTCTGTACTGATGTTTCATGTGTTTATTTTCTTTTATTTTTTTGTCCCCAAGTAAATTATATATGCATTTTCACACATCTAAAACAAGGTCAAATGGATAATTCACTAGTATCTTCACCCTCAGCCTTAGTTACAAGTTAGACTGTAGAATTTGAAATGTATTGTACTTCATAATCTGGAATGGGATTGTGATCTTGGCTTTGTCATCTAGTCACACGTCGAACAGGAAACACCAGATACTGTCATCTAATTCAGTGAAGCAGTTTTAAGGTAAAACGTAAGACAAAATAATGTCCTGGTTAGGATTCAAACTGGGGGAGTGCAGGATAACCAAGATTATATTGAGCCTCACTGTTCTCTGTGAGTTACAGCAGTTTTCTTTGGCACGTTTGCAGCACTTTTCTCAAAGCCTTTAATAACCTAAAAGCCCTAAATCAAAGAATAAACACACTGGTTGATGTTCTGTGTTTTTTCTTCTTTTTTTGGTCAAATGGGTTAATAGTTCCCATCATACTGTTCAAGATGTACGTGATGCTATTAAAGCCAAACATCATTAATCTGTTATTCAAGACAACTAAAGATATAGCACTAGAAATAAATTAATGTTTTTAGGCATTTATTCATGTGTTCTCTTCTTGTATGAATGTTACATGCATTGTTTATTTCCGTAGAGTACTTTCAAAACATTTCAGTACTCTGCATCCAAAAGCAGTTCTGTCAGTTGCTTATTTTGAATTGAATATGTGTTCAAGACGTTGCTCTGCAGTTTGGCAGTTTTAAAATTACACCAAGAGTGCCCAGCTGAAACATATCTCATTCCAAAGCAGCCTTACTTTGGATTTAGAATTGCTTAATTGCTGAAGAGCTTAATGGAATACACCAAGAAGACCAAGACCTTTAAAGTAATAACATTAGTTTAGGCATACAGTACAATGTTTATGTTTTAGAATTTTATTTGATTTATATTCAGTCAGTTTCACCATAAACTCATCTTTTCAATACATCAAGTTTCAGATAAAATTCAGAAAACCCACTAGATTCTCTCATATCCCAAGTGTTCCATCTCTGGTCGGTGAGCAAAATAAACCAGTTTTCATTTCAAACTCGGATAGATGAAGCTGTCCAGAGTTTTAAAGTTTGGGTTAGCAAAACAAAAGGTACTGTTTCAGGGAGTCTGATGGAACTGACCATTTGTGATGGTAATTTGAGTATAAGCAAAAAACTTTACTTAATGTTTATGCAGGGAATACAGTTGTCCCAATAATTATTTTCTATAAAGGCACTTATGATAGGCAAATAATAATACCTCTTATCCCAAATATAAAAATATTTTTTTTTAATTAAAAAAAAAAACTTTTGTGCTATACAGGGACAGAGCAGTCTTAAGCTCAGAGTTCTACCCTGCACTCTGTGCATTGCCTTCTCTGGCCCACTCCAAGAAAACCAGCTTCCCAATAGATAACCTTTACTGGGTGATTTTCAGATTGCTTCAATTATTGTAAGCTATGGGGGAAAAAAATGTTAGGAGTAAAATGCTTTGATGCTAACATTACTTGTAACTTGCACAGTTTTGTTCACATTTTATTTAAAAAAACTGAATGTTTTAAAATGCTCCAAATAAAAGTTAGAGTTATCTGTTCTGTTGACAGGCAGAGTGACATTTTGCTGATGAAGAGGTTAGAGCTGACTTCCAAGATTTTGTTTTGCAAATAAAAGGTGCTTTTACAGAAAACGTTTGTAATTATTGTTTTGTGTGTATGAGTCTGTATCTGTAGGTATGATTGAGATGGATACACACAATATGTTTTTGATAGATATGAACCATGCAATATGTACTATAAGATACTATAATGATATGGTGAAGAAAGGTTACAATATGAAAGAATGGTGAGGTGATTATTTTTGACAGTATAAAACAGCAATTTTTTCCAGGTGCCATTGCTGCGACCTAAACATTTTGTATCGATTAAGAACAGAACAAGAAAATGCTGTTCTCACCCAGTTTGCCTGGGTTTCCTATGGAAGCTCCTGTCTTCTCATACAGTAAAAAGATAAAATCTTAGGATAATTGCCTTCTGGGAAAACTGGCTCTGATGTGAGTGTGTACATGTCTGTCTTTGTGTGTGCCTTGTGATGGACTGGCATCCCATTAAGAGTATTTCCTGACTTGTGCATACAACATGTATGGTGACTTACATTGTTAAGCGCCTTGGGGCCACCTTGTTGTAAAAGGTGCTATATAAAAATAAATTGAATTGAATAGATGATTTAGAAGCTGCCTTTACACAAAGAGTAATTAACATGCCAATCACCTATGTTAATTTGAATTGTGCTAAATACTGTAAATATCCATCATTCTGCATTTACAGTAAAATTCAATATATAACCATAATTCACATTTGTTTTGTTATTGTGCATATTTTAGACTAATTTTTTGTTAAGAATGATGATTGAGAACATCAGTGCTTCTGTGCCTCTCAGGACACAGACATGTGGAGACTCTTCATTTTTATCAACTGCAGCTGTTGCAAAGATATCTTAACTGGCTTTCACCCATCTAGGTTCACTTGGAGTAATTAATGCCCTGTAAAACTATCTCCAAGCCTAAAAGTTTTGCGTGTTGTAGTGTAATGAGGCAGCCAAATTGTGAAAATAGGTGAAGCTGCCAGAGGGCGGTCTTAAGACAGTCCAAATACAGCAAACTCTGCATTATCAGAAGGAAATTAAAGAATAGACTGCACCTGTGGACTAATAGGAGACCATCAGAGTCTCTATTACCTCTGTTACCAGGTGTTTATTCATTAGGCCCTGCACAGACTTAGTTAACTTTATTTAAGCCAGGAATATTTAAGTACAGTTGATCACTTCTAAGGTGAAACTGCAACTTAAGTAAAAACGAAGTCATTATTAATGTAAAAAAAAATTCTACAATTGCAGTAGCATCACACTACACACTAGAAGAGCATAGTTATCGTACAAATCTTATACTAGTGATTAATGCAATCCTTCCATGTTACTGTGGCAACTTGCCACCTAAGGGGTAGCTGTGCAAGAACGTTGCCATGGTAACGACAGAGTTATTAGACATGGGGAAGACTAGACTCCCCAATTAGTTGGTGTTATTAGTCTACAAGTAGTTATTAGTATGGTGGTGCTGACCTGTGTGGAGCTCTGGTCACATTCTTGAGAAACTGGACTTCAGTTTATTATGGGGGAAATCGGTACATGAAATACATCAGAGCTCAGTGAAATGTGCTTGTTTTAAATACTATTGTCATAGTCATACACTCTACATGTGAAGCCTGAAACTCTGGGATACGGACTCAGACTCAGGGTCTGCATGTATGGTTTTTGATCTTTATGATATGAAATAAAGGTATTGTGTCTTATGTCAGGAGTTTCGACATCTGGTTCCCACTAAAAGACAACACTTCTCTTGTCATCTATAAAATGTGGTGTCCCTGTTCAGGCTCTTTTACTGGAGAAGGAGTCTTGTGTACAGGATCCCCTACATCTGTTCAAGTGCCTTTTGTGCTGTTTTAGATCTTTTTCTAACTCTATAATGTCAAATTGAAAACAAAATTCTGCAGATCCCTCCTAAATTAATTATAAATATTGTTACAGCTACAGGTGACTAAGAAGTGTCTCTATGAGTTTAAATAATGTGTAATGCCTGGCAGTGTAAAAATCACCAGCTACAAAGCAGAGAGGATGTTTGCTGAGATGTAGGTGATCCCATGATCAAAAACAATTGCAATGTTTACCTTGAAGAAGTTTAAATAGGTACAAGTAAAGGTTTATTTCATTCTGAAAAAAAGAGACACAACGTTTTGGCTGTGCAGTATTCTTCTTCTCTTTTTAAAAAGATGTGTCTCAAAAAATGTCCCCTCTTGTTGAGCACCAGGAAGCACATTGAATCGGACAGAGCACATAGGATCAATGCTGGATCTGGCTCTCAGATGAACAGTCCTCATACAGTACACGTATTTTTAAACTCCTTTAACATGTTGCTAGCTCATCCAGCAAACTGCCAGAGATTGCATATGCCACCACAGGACTACAGAGGCTGACTGCTGTTCCTCCAGAACTATCCCTCTCTATGTACAATGCAGAAACTGCTTCACCCTGGTGCAGATATCTCTTCTTCCGTTAGGAGAACAGAATTTTGATTCTACCTGTCGAAGCTGAAGATCTTCCAAGGGAAGCCAATACATTCTTTCACATATAGTGAAACCGAGCAATAGCACAAGTTGCCTTTGCATTCTGGGAGGGAGGATTGTTCTGTAATGCTTTTTGTGTCTGCTGCTTGGTTTCTTTTAATATAGTACATTACAATTGTTATTGCAGGACTTTAATTCCAAAATGTATTATATTTAATGTATGGTTGTGAGGGGTTCCAAGAATAAGGGTAGTAAGAAACTTAAATTGGACTATGTGATACAAATTAAGACAAAGAATACAGGAGTACTGTGTCCTAGACAGATTGCAGGAGTAAGTATTCTTGAGTTTCAGAACATTCAAAACATTTCAAAACAAAGAAATTCCTCATTCCCCTATCTACTGTGAGAAACATAGCTTTAGCTGCATATAAGGAGCCAAAATTTACAGTTTGTAGCTATTGGACAGTAATAGTTCTATATAAGCGCTCCACCTTTGTTGGTAGCATAGCAGGGGAAATCTGCACACAAAACCATCCCTGTACATGCGCGTTTTGGTGGCATACAGAACAACCCTGAAGCTAAACTGCCTTCCCAACTCTTTATTTGTCCATTTAAGTGCATGCCTAATTTCTCCTTTTTTGAAAGTTTGTATCCTGTCAATTCACTTGAAAAGTCTGTCTTCTTTTTATGGGTGGCCTGGATCAACAATGATTGAGTCTGCTAATGAAATGAGTTAAGTATTAATTTTAGTTTTTTTATTCCATCCATTTTCCCCTAAGAATTTGCCACCACTAATCTCACCCTGAGATCTAAGGTCTCACTGTCTAGGAGGGTCTGAGTAACTGTATGCTTATCACATCACATCACTTTCAATAACAACTTATCCAGTTCCATTATGGCCTGGAGCATTATGTGCAAGATACAGTAGGATACACCCTGAGCAGAATGCCAGTCCATTGCAGGGCACACACAGACAAACATACTCGCATCAGGGCCAATTTTCCCAGAAGCCAATTAACCTACCAGTATATTTTTGGACAGTGTGAGGAAACTGGAGCTTCTGGAATAAACCCATGCAAACCTGGGGAGAACTCCACACAAATAGTACCTCAGGAACAGTGGATCCGAGGGACTGCTTCCTTGAAGATAAGGTAATAGATTTCTTGTCCAGGAAACTAATATTCCACTATAAACTGTCCATTTCATGTCAAATTTAAATTTAATTACATTTCTAAGACAGGTTTTCACAGCTTTTATGCAGAATGTTTGATTTGCTACTGTGTATATCAAGAACAGCATTACAATTGTAGCCTGGTCTCAACAGATCTCAGAAGCTAAACAAAGCTGGGGCCAGTCAGTGCTGGGATGGGATACCTCTAAGGTTCCAGCTGTGATGCTGGTGGACCAATAGATGGTTATCTTTCCGCTGGATCAAAATTTTCAAAACAATCCCACAGTACATTGACAAGGGACACTGTACTGTAGGAGTTATCAAGATCCTGTCTATTTCATTATTTAAGATCCCACAGCACTGTTCCTAAGAGTAGGGTATGAATCCTGGGATCCTTGCAAAATTCTGCTTTGGGCTTATGCAAACCAGTATTATTAGATTTCCCCCTTAACTCAACAGGCATGGCAATTTCTTACTCTGCAGGCAATTTCTTATTCTACGACTGATCTGTAGTGTATGGGGTTGCTGGCACACATTGGCAGTAGTGTGTTTCCAGGGGGGGGCTGTGAGTCAGAGATGGATGACGTGAGTCTCATACCATATGTAGAACACTTTGAGATTGATCCTTTGAGAACAAAGAAGTTCTACATAAATGTAAGTAAATCTTATATACTTTATGTGACACCACCTCCATCCATTTTGTAACCAAATCAATCAGTCAGGGTTGCGAGGGAGCTGGAGCCTATCCTGGCAAGCAATACCTGGAAGGGACGCCAGTCCATCACTGTAACGGGAGCTGGTCCTGACTCCCGTGGAGTGTGTGGTTTAGGACTCTGTGCAGACGGTATAATCCGGAAGTGATTGGAGTAGGACACCATGGGAAAGACGGCAGGTTCAGGACGGGATGACACACGGGGGGCGTGACGACAGTGATCCGGTGCTCAGGGGGTGCGGTGAAGGCGAACGAGTCCAAATAGGGAAACTAGGGCACAGTCCAATATCCAAAACTGGGAGGTCCATCCAAGATGACGACAAGAATAAAAACAAGGAATGGGGACATGGAACCAGGAACAAGGAAGTTAAAAGTAGAGTAACGAGGCCAGGTGCTCCGAGCCCCGGACTCAGCTGGTCAGGACGCCGTTCGGAAGCCTGTGCCTTCAAGCAGTGGACGTGGGGCGACTTGATTGTAGGTGGGCATCCGGGCCTCCAGGCCTCCGGGCGTCCATCCTCCAATGCAGAGCCCTGAGCTTCAGAGGCACAAGGTTTAAATAATAGACAGGGAACAAGGGGCGGGTGAACATACAGTAAAAATGAAACTGAAATACAAAAGGGTCGGAGTGCCCACTAGAGGAGGGATGACGATCGTGACAATCGCAAGAGAGACAGAAACAAATACATACA